TAAATTTCATTTAAATAATAAAAACTGCTACTAGCAGTCTTACGTTACATTTTAATTATGTATTACCAAGGCCAATCGTTCATAATTGACTGGCTTAAGAACTTTTGATTTCAACAGAGTTTTCAGTACACCCCGCATCCAATTAGAAACCTCAATATAAATAAAGAGCTGTCAAGGATGCGTGCATCAAACCATTGTTATTTATATCATATATATTTATTGTTTATATACATATATGCAGTTGCGAACCTACGCGTGTATGATTCCCTCACAATGCCATAAAATCAAGTGTTTGATGTATAATATAACTATGGCAGCTGTCTATTAGCTTGATGGACAGGCAAATGAAGACTATACATTTTAATCGCATAAAATTTAAGTTAGTTTAAGGTTGCACATCCGTTGAAACCATTAATTAAATAAATCACAGTTGCATTGTCTTACGATTACTGAAGTTAATTTAGTACTAAACACATATACTTATGGTATGAATATTTGTAGTTGTAAGGAAATACTACATAAACCGAAGGTTGATGCCCAGCTTAGATATTCATGACAAAAGAAAAATTTATTAATTAACTATTMTACTCTGTAGCAACAGGTTGCAAATGTATAAAAATAGTGTCAATATACTCGTGTATGCCTAARAGCAATTTTCATGTCGAAAAGTTGCTTGCTGATTTCATGTTTCCTGCCGATCCAACACATTTCAAACTATTTGACTATGATACAGTTTTTTGGGCCGAAATTGTTGACATAACAGAAGGCGTTATGTGGACTTCTGCTCTAACCAGCAAATCCAGTAACCTTCTAGTGGATAGACAAGCGCCAATTAAGGTTATCCCTATCGCCTATGTCATCTGGGTGTCCACTCATAGAAGGAAACAGAGTTTTTAGTGACTTAAGGAATAGCGAAAAACTCGCTATAAATTCAATTGTTTTTTTTTATTTTTACGGCTCCTGAAAAGTTAAAAAAAGATCCGACGTTTTCTAGCAAAATTWTACTCAGCGGTGAGGCCTATTTCTGACTTAATGGATATTTAATTAAGCCAAGAGATGCACGAGCTGCCTTTTAATTCAGAAAAAATAACGGTTTTGTATGGTTTGTRGGCGRGCGAAATCATCAAACCATATTTCTTCAAAAAAGATACCGCCCGTGATCGCGCCATGATAGCCGACTTGATCTCGGCGACATTTGGTTTCAACAACATCGCAGATAATTTAAAGTTTTGGGTCGGTCGATTGGTCACCAAGATCGTGTGATATCACACCATTAGACTTTTTCCTTTGGGGATATGTAAAGTCTAAAGTCTATGCGGATAATCTGGCTTCAGTTCAGGCCTTTGAGCAAAACATCACGCTTGTCATTCGCCAGTTATCAATCGAAATGCGGAAACGAKTCATTAAAAATTGGACTCAATGAACGAACCATCTGAGACGTGACCCAAAAGATCAATAAAAAAATATTAGATCTTTAATACAGTATATTCACTAGATTACATCTCGCACTCATAATTGCAAGCATTAAAATGTGTGTAGGCTTTCTTATAATAATATAATATTAAATCGTTTATATTAACTTATTGTATTTTTATAAAGCTTGTGAACGTTGATTTGCTTTGTTGATTAATTCCGACATATTCAAATAGAGATTAAGGGGCAGTTATCTGTTTTATTATCAAAATAGTCAAAAGTTGTTAGTGCGCATGCGTATKCTACACACCTATATATTCATATTAATGTTTAAAAGTAAACTAGAATTTAAGTGGATTATAATTAACTTAATAAATTGTAATATATATTAAAGGTTAGGCTGTTGAAATTATTAGAATACTAGTTATGATGACCTTTATTTTAAATTTTAATCAAATGCATTTAGTATAGGTATTTATATATAGCATATATATCTACGTGCTCRTATATTTGCTCTGTAATGACTAACTTACGCACATTATAATTTTTTTATTTTTTTGAACTTCAAGGTTACCTCAATTTAGTATGCCTACTAATAAAAATACAAAAATTCTATAAGAGTTTATGAATATAAATATATATAATAACATGCTTACAAAAAAAAAATTCGTTGAAGGTTGTTTGCATTTAGTTCCTGCCATTAGATTATCTCTTAATTAAACTAAACTTCACACCAACATTATTAATATGTAGATTTAATGCACTCATAGTAGAAAGCGTCTCGCTTATTTTGCCTTCGCCTTCATTTTTTGCGGAATGAATCTCATAATAATAATTAAAACGATCACAACCTTGACGGTAGTCCTTCTAACTGTTCTAAGTTATGTCAATTATGAAAGTCTTGTGGTTTCCAGCTTATTAGAARTTCTTAAAACAAAACCACATAAGTACAACATTATTAGCACTATGTAATCAAGTTTTATAATAAAAAGGTTTATGGTCGAAATGTTTGTCGCGAGTGAACATAGAAAAATAAAAATAAATGTATAGTTATACTAAACTTAATGTTAACTAAACACAAACACTAATAGTACACTACTGCAAAATAATTTATATACATGTATGCTGTATGGGTATTAAATAACTGTGCATATTTTAAAAACTAATTCCATAATTTTTTTCTTGTCTCCTTTCCATATATACAAATTGGAAAAGTCTGACAACTTATTAACCATATCTTGATTAACAAGCCAACCACTTTTATTTCATGTAATTCTAATGCATTCAAACATATGTATATGCATACAGATGTGTGCATGCCCACTACTTCACCTACTCACAGTGTGTATTACGGGCACTATGTATATCAATATACTCTCAATGTACTATACATATCGTAATTGCTACTAACTACATTTAGTTGAGACATATGTTCGAATAAAATAGTTTACTATAAAATATTTGTTGAATATATTAAATGGAATAAAATAAAGCAACTATGTATGTGTTAGTTAAGCTTTTTATCATGTTTGTGTTTAGTGACAGCAAGCGAGACTCCAAGTATGGTATTGCATCAGATTCGCATTCGTCCTACCAGTCGTATACGCAACATTTTCAATATTAAAAGCGACAACTTCGTAGTAAGCATATACATATGTATTCATAAAGCTCTAGACAAGTATATATGTTAGGATTGTTATATAATATGAATAATATTTAATAAATGTTAATTAATTAGTACTTGTAAAACCAAGAAATTCTGCATTTGTAATATGTGTATTTGCTCTGCTAATGACTGTATTATGGCACTTATTGATTCAATATTTATAGTATTCTTGTTTCCGTTCATTGTAGTAAGATTTCTGAGCAGATTTGGAAAAAAATATGAAAATATTATTTTTGTGCCTGGCATTTGCGAATATATGTGATGGAGAAGATGGCATAATAGAAACCTCCTATAATTTCTATTATGTGCCACATGAAATGGTTTATTTGTAGAAATTCCAAGATGTGACAAAAACAGATTGTTGGGATATTTCCTTTTTTTATTTATTAATTATTTTTACCTATCGACACCGGCTATATCAAGCACTATAGTATACCTTCTTCTTTTTTACTGGCACAGCTTACGAGATTATATCCAAGTTAATAACAGCGCGAGAGTCGTTTTTTCTTTTCGCAACGCAGCGCCAATTGGAAATTCCAAGTGACGCAAGGTGCTTCTCCACCTGGTCTTTCCAAAGGAGGAGGTCTTCCTTTTCGTTTGAGTAATAGCTCATCATTCCAACGAATGCGATATTCGCCGTGGCCAACGCGTAAAGGACCAYTATTTTARGTTCGCAGAACCTTCCTCTAGAAAACTCGTTACATCGACTCATCAGATGTTGTCATCGTTCATGACTCTGCCTTATAGAGTTTGGTCTTTCGTTGAAAGTGGACTTTACTTCTTATTTGCTTAGTCAGTTCGAAGTAGCACCTTTTGGCAAGAGTTATTCTGCGTTGGATTTCGAGACTGACATTGTTGTTGCTGTAAATGCTGGTTCGCTGCCTTATCCATTGTGGAGCAGAACTAACGGCGCGGTTGTTAAGGTCAATGATATCAATGTCATCAGCATACGCCAGMAGCTGTACACTTTTATAGAAGATTGAACATTCTTKKTTTAGTTCTGCAGCTCGAATTATTTTCTCCAGCAGCAGGTTRAAGAAATCGCACGATAGGGAGTCGCCTTATCTAAAACCTCGTTTGGTATCGAGAGAGATCCTTCCCGATCCTTACGGAGCGTTTGGTGTTGCTCAACGTCAGCTTACACAGCCGATTAGTTTTACCAGATTGTCAAATTCACACATCGCGGCATAAGGGCAGCTGCTTTTCGTGCTGTCAAAGGCAAATCGACGAAGAGGCGGTGAGTGCCGATTATCTTTTTAAGGATCTTTCCCAAGATTTGGCGCATGGTGAATATCTGGTCAGTTGTTGATTTACCAGGTCTGAAGCCACACTGATAAGGTCCAATCAGTTTGTTGACGGTGGGCTTTATGCGCGATGCTGAGAAGGCTTATCCCACGGTAGTTGTCACAGATTGTGGGTCTCCCTTTTTGTGGATTGGGCAGAGCACACTTAAATTCCAATCGTTTGGCATGCTTTCGTCTGACCATACTCTTCAAAGAAGCTAATGCATGCTCCTTATCAGTTCTTCGCCGACCTGTATGAATAGCTCGGCCGGCAATCCATCGGCCCCCGCCGCTTTGTTTTTCTTCCGACGGGTAATTGCTATTCGAACTTCTTCATGGTCGGGCAATAGAATGTCTGCTCCATCGTCATCGATTAGGAAATCGGGTTCGCCTTCTCCTGGCGTTATACTTTCACTGACATTCAGTAGGCTGGAGATGTGTTCCCTCCCATAATTTTAGTATGATCTGGGCATGAGTCACTAGATCACTTCTGGGGGTTCTACAAGAATATGATCCGGTCTTGAAACCTTATGTACAACTAACATCCTAATTAATTTTTAAGTAGTTAAAAGTATGAGMAATTTTAAGTTACGAACGAAAACAATAATTTATTTATTTTCTATATCAAATATTTCCAGTCTTTATAATGGGATCTATACCGAAATTATCAATTGTGAAAGGTCAACAACAGGACATTACACCRCGTCCATTGCATCGCATTCTCGAAGCCAATTTGCTGCATTACTCACACAAGAGCGCGCTAATAACACACAACAACGGCGAATCCATTGCCTCAGAGTCCACACAGTGCACCTACAAGCAGTTAAATCAGCGCGCCAATCAATGTGCACGTCTGCTAGTAGCTGATATTAAACGTAATTGCCTGCAGCCTAACAACGATGGTGATTACATTGTGGCGGTATGCATGGAGCCGTCCGATGTGCTTGTCAATACACTTCTCTCGATTTGGAAAGCCGGTGCTGCTTATCTACCAATAGATCCGACATTTCCGAACAATCGCATACAACACATATTGCAGGAATCACGTCCCGTTATAGTGATATGCGATGACAATATCGACCGTCAACGCTTTAACGGTACACCGACCATCAGCAGCTCKGAGCTTTTCCATCGTTCGGCCGAATTGAGTAACGCTAATTTGATGCCGGCCGAGATGCTGACCGATGGTACTAATAACTTGGCAATTGTGCTTTACACATCGGGCAGCACTGGCGTACCMAAGGGTGTGCGTCTACCACACGAGATAATCTTGAACCGCTTGCAATGGCAATGGCATACATTTCCCTATRCGCCGACTGAGTCCGTGTGCGTTTTCAAGACCGCACTCACCTTTGTTGATTCGATATCGGAATTATGGGGACCGCTTCTGTGTGGTCTTTCTATTTTGGTTGTTCCAAAATCGATWACTAAAGATCCGGAGCGTTTGGTTAATTTGCTGGAGAAATACAAAATACGTCGTTTAGTTTTGGTGCCGACACTTTTACGTTCGATTTTGATGTTTTTGAAGTTGAATGATGACAATACTAAATGCCAAATGTTGCAGCGCGATCGTCTACTGTATAATTTGAAGATTTGGGTTTGTTCCGGTGAACCATTACCGGTAGCTTTGGCTATGAGTTTCTTCGACTATTTTTCCGAAGGCATACATACGCTATACAATTTTTATGGATCGACCGAAGTGATGGGCGATGTCACTTATTTTGCTTGTGAAAGCAAGAAGCAATTAAGCTACTTCGATCATGTGCCGATTGGTAATTGAATTTTCTCACCGAGCTCTAATAATCATATTTATAAAGCACTTCTACTGAGTCATATATGCATGCATTTATATCCTCACAGGTATTCCACTTTCAAACACTGTGATATATTTACTTGACGGTGATTTTCGACCAGTYAAACAAGGAGAAATTGGCGAAATTTTCGTTTCGGGTCTAAATCTAGCCGAAGGTTATGTAAACGGTAGAGATCCAGAAAAGTTCGTGGAAAACCCCTTGGCTGTGGAATTAAGTAAAACCAACGTAACTCGAACACATATAAAAAATACCAATATATCTTTTCTTTACGCAGAGTACTCACGCCTCTATCGCACCGGTGATTACGGCTCTTTACGTAACGGCAATGTAATGTACGAAGGACGCACTGACTCGCAAATAAAAATTCGTGGTCATCGTGTTGATCTTGCCGAAGTTGAGAAGAACGTTTCAGAATTACCATTCGTCGATAAAGCGATCGTATTGTGCTATCATGCTGGMAAAATTGATCAAGCAATTCTGGCTTTCGTAAAATTACGCGACGATTCACCACTACTGAGCGAAATGCAAATTGAAGCGAAATTGAGGGACAAACTTGCTGAGTATATGACACCACAAGTGGTTCTAATCGACAAGGTGCCCTACCTTGTCAACGGTAAAGTAGATCGGCAGGCACTACTAAAAACTTACGAGACGGCAAATAATAACGAAGGTGACTCCAGCATTGTACTGGACTACGACTATACGCACGTGCCCGAAGATATCGAGCATATAGCCAGAGATCTTTTTGAGACTGTGGGTGGTGTGATTGGGCGCTCAACACGCACTACTCTATCGCTCCACAGCAACTTTTATGCGTTGGGCGGAAACTCATTGAATTCCATTTATACAGTTACGTTGCTGCGTGAGAAGGGCTACAATGTTGGCATATCCGAATTTATTGCGGCTAAAGATTTGGGTGAAATATTGGAGAAAATGGTACATAACCGTAATTCGAATGCAATGATCGAGGACTGGTCGAATGCTGCACCACATCTCAACATGATCGCTGAACCGCTTAGCCATGCGCATAAGCAAGACGTAATTGAGTAAGTAATGCGAAGTTGATGGTCAAGATCGAGTGTGCTTAAGTGATWTTGTCTACTCTATTACATAGAATCATCGTTGACAGCTTCTATGGTAAGGCGGATCTGGAGCAATGGCTAAAACCTGACATTTTTCCAAATGATTACAGTGATCTAATCAATGTAAGAATTTCATGCGCTCATTGGCAGCCTCTTCACTTTGTTAAAATTGTTCAATAATTTATCTGTTTATTAGGATATATGGGATGCTTTGGTAGAAAAGAACCTAAGTTTGGTGGTACGTGATAAGCGCACGGATCGTATAATTGGTACGGCATTGAATTTCGATGCACGCGCTGAGCCAGACGTTGAAGTGAAATCGAAATTGATTATCGTTTTTGAGTTTTTGGAATTCGTTGAAGGTCCTATACGGTAAGTCATATGCGGTAATTGCTAAACATATAGGAAAAAGCAGTAAAAAGCAGCTGTTCTTTAAAAAACCTAAAAATAATTTTCAGTGCTTACTTTTGAAGTTCTGAAATCCGTGAATGTTAATTGATGTTCGATTTTATAAGTATGTATACATATATTTTTAAAATTTTAATTTTTCTAAAGGGACAATCAACTGCCGAAAGGACCCAACCAAATACTGCACTCATTCATGATGGGCACCAGCTCCGATTTAAATCCACAAGAGAATATTGCCTGCATGCATTTCATGGAAAATGAAGTGCTGCGCGTTGCTAGAGAGAAGCACTTCGCTGGCATTTTAACAACCAATACGAGTCCCTTAACGCAGGTAAGATAAATTAGTTAATGAAAGTCTTCCTTGTTTTCAATACGATTCCAATATAAATTATATTTAACGATGTGCATTTACTTCACTCACCCTTTCAGCAATTGGGCAACGATGTCTATCAGTACAAAACATTGCTGGACTACCAGGTCAATCAATATGTRTACAACGATGGCACTRTACCCTTTGGCAAAGCGCCCGATTCGCAACGTGCCATTGTCCATTGGCGCGAAGTGACTGACTGAGGTGTRGCGTAGCGCATCATCGTTATCATATTTATACATTTTGTTAGTGATTTTCCATAATTTCTTGATTTCAAGCATTAGTATTTACGCTKCGACGTTCTATCAAACGACTACTTGCGTTAAAATTGAGCTTTRTGTAGTTAATTTCGAGAATTTTGGTGGCTCCGCAACGCACACTGGAAGTCACCTTTTGTTCTCTCACCTCATTTGTTGATATGGAAATCAAGTTTAGCATTAAGCAATTGAATATCAGTGCGCGTTTTCATAATTTTACATAGTATTATTTTATTTGTTACATAAATATGTTATTTTACACATACATACCATTATTATAGTTCGCAACTCTCATGGAATGGAGTTTTCATCTTGCATGTACCTGTTGAATAAAAAATAAATCATCCATATTTATATATTTAAGGCTATTATATAATTAACTAAATTAAAAAMAAAAGTTTAATAAAGAAAACCGTAGGAAGGTGTTGTCTTTTTTATTTAATTGCATCCTAATTCTTCTTTATACAAATAAGAAGACGATATCTATTCGGACGACACAGCCTAGCAATTTAATTATCATTTTATCATAGAGTTAGGGTTGGCACATACATATATAGTTTAAGCCCACTTAACTGAAATAGGATAAAATTTAAGGTTTTTACAAAATCATCACCCAATAATATTAAATTTTTTTTTGGAAAACGTTCGTAAATTAACAATAAATGAATATATCATATTATTTTAAAGAATTCAATGTATTCAAAATCCAAAGCCCGCAAAATACTGTAAGCAACTGGTGGTAAGCTGATGCTAGATTCCTGATTTTGTCAATTTATATTTACTATAATATCAAAATCTGTCGACTGGCCACTCAGTTGCTTGCGATTACTAGCCGATATCCATGCATTGTTCGGGAGCCGATTAAAAAAAAAAATTATCATTCAGTTCTTTAAAAACTTTCAAAATAGGCTCCTTCTGCGGCGATGCAGCCAGCCAGCCAGCGCGATTTCCAAGCATTGAATGCGTCACAGACTTGGCATTGAYGGTGTGTCCAGGAGRAACAAATTCATTTCGATCGATGCCTTTGATGTCAAAAAGAACAATGAGCATTTGTATTTGTCGAAGTCGCAGGTCTCCCAGCACGGTCTTCATAAGCGACCTCTTCCCGGCCCTCCAAAACGGTCTGCTGCCACTTCTTGCTAAAGCAACATCTGAAGCAACAGATCTACCGAGTTTCACACAGAATTTAATCGCGTGCCTCTGCTCTTACGAATGCCGACCGGTCCTTAACTACGTCACACCAATATGGTCGCCTATAGAGATGTGACAACACTGCACTCCAGACTACAACGGGTTCCATGAGTGACGCATGTATGCTTACAGTTCAGGAACATAATAAATTCCTCTCCAAGTAAGTTTCTGCTGAGGTGCCGTCGTTGAAATCATTCTTCTTCAACTACGTCGACGACATAAAACAATACGTCGATCAGACTTCGTACGCTACAAATTTCAGACATGCATTGGCCATTCACATTCACCGACTCCCTCTCAGTGAAAGACGTACTTGTAGTCAAACTACCATTCACTGCAGACGAGTTCGAGTATCCGCGGGAATCAAGAGTACCCTTACACAGCTTCGTTCTGTATGCTGTAGCAGGTTAAAYTCCTACTTATCCAGAATCGTCCCTAACGTATCAAATATATGTCCAGCGAGCAATGTGTCTCCGATAACCACTTATCTAATCCTTAACAACCTAACGGAGACTAGCTAACCGTTATAACAAGAGTTCGATATCTTAAATTAATGCTTAGTTATGACCTTTTATTAGATTTATATTATATTAATGACGTTATGTAGATTACGCCCATCTACAGGATATGTTAATTTTTACACAATTACAGCTTACACGGACGGATAGACAGACAGACAATCAGCSGGATATATCTGGAGCAATATGTTGCCAGAGTATAAAATGTGTCGTTAACGCCATGTCATAACATTTGTAAGGCGACCAAAAGTAGTTGGTRGTGGTGATGTGATTTGATGAGTACATCAAATGATGACGTCATGTGTTGATATGATATAAATTGATACCGCGTGAGATTTTTGGTTCACAAAGTAGGCGCGATGTGATCAGGTGTCGTAATGTAATTTAATATTTAGATCCGATGGGTCGTGATATGATAATTGCCGCATATGATAATTGCCGCATATGACATCACCAAGTATTGATGTGATATAGTTTGACCGTAGAGATTTTAGTGCTGAACCAGAGAACTTAAAGCATTTTAAGATATATATAAAAAAAGCATTTTAAGTTCTCTGGCTGAACAAAGTGATTCTGATGTTATCAGGCGATGTGACGTGATGTGATAGTTACATCACATGTTCTTTACAGCTCTACATGAACCGGGAGAAGATTGCATTTTTCGTCAAAAAAGAAAATTGCTTTTTTTGTAACTACAACAACAACAAATGCTTATAATTAGTACTAAGTTGCTTTGAAATAAAGCGGAATGAACAAACAAACAGTTATCAGGAGCATTTTTTTATATTTTAACATTAAGCCATAATAGTAATGTATGTGTGTAGTTTATTTGTATACCTTAATTTCATTTCCAAATTCATATATCTCTATAACTACATATGTATACAATTCAAATTCTCAACTAATACATATTTATATCATAATCATTATTACATAGTATTAACGGTATTTATACCCACGGCTTAAGCTTTTATATTAGTTTTTTTCTGTTTCTCAAATTTATTATATAATATAGTACGCTAAAAAAAATTATCATTATTATTTATTTTAAATACAAGTTATTCAGCTCTATGCAGCAACATTTTAACGCAGTTTCACTCACGTACATAAGAATTTACGGTATATGCGCAACATTTTGAAAATTAGCGATAGGCGTTTATGTGTGTGTGTGTATACATACATCGGCGAATAGTGGGCGCTTTTTGATAGACAATAAACTAAATAGTAGTATATTCCACGCATTACTAAACATTTAAACTACATTCTTCTGTACAGCTAAGCATATATATAATATATATACATACATATGTATGTGTATATRTATTTTAGGTGAATTAATTAGGTGGTGTAAATCAGTTTAAAATGCGCAATGTGGATTACAGATATCGCCAGCGCCAACTTTTTCCCTTTTCAGTTTTGCATTTCTGCATTTTTTGTTAAAATACAATTTGGTCTGAACGTAAACGACTGACGGGGTAGCTGCGTTCGAAACGTAAAAAGTSATTGCAATAAGTCCATTTAAAAAATATTAATTTTATTGGCTGCCTTACATCCGGTGCCATTCTTATTGTATAACCTTGTTTGCCATTTTCTGTACTTCTTTTCGAATTTTAATTTGATAATCACTATAACTAAGAGAAAGCTATTTTAAATTACACCGAGTTTTGCCGTATTCAAATTCAGCAACGAATTCTTGAGCGCACACGAAAGTTACATTGAATGKAGTGGTGTATACACATACCGTTACTTAAGTATAGATGTATGCAGACTGGTATAAATACAAGAACGAGATGATCTTTGTAAATTTCGGCATCAAATCATCAGTGATATACWTATAACAAAAATAATATTTAGTAATTTGCATCTGCTAAGGGATTTGGTTTCAACTTATGCCTGTATAAATGCTGCGCTGACTAAGGGTTATGTACGACTGGCTTTCAACTCAGCACACAGCTGCAGACGAATTGCACCTAGATACGAGTTATTAGTTTTGCTTTCACATTTCTTTCACATAATATATTGTTGCTCTTTATTGAGTTAATCGTCTTCTTGAATGCCATTTTCACACGCGCACACGCAACAACTTTGACCAAGCAAAACGCAGTGCAGTCACTACATTGCACAGCACACGCGCAATGACACGCAGTTTGTCCCGATGATTGAGGTTAGATTAAATGCTGTTACAACAACAACGACAACAGCCGGTAGTTTGACGCACATTTCCTTTAAATAACAACGGAATTCTGTGCTTGCATGACGCCGCCAGCTCCACCGGTGCCACCGTTTGCGCTGCCGTCCACACCTTGTCCTTGCACGCTTTGATCGAGCCGTCGGTAATTTTGGAATGTCTTCCACTCGCCGGTGTTGTAATCCAGCCGTATATGCGACTCGACCAAACAAAGTGCTGTGCTGCCGTCCTCTTGCTGCACCTTTTCCTACGATAGATAATTTATATTAGTATCTATATGTACGCACACTAAGAATAATAATCAATCAAAATCAATTTACCTCAGTTTCGCCCAATTTTATAACTATGACGTTCTCCGAGTTGGGCCGTGGATTCTCACGCATGCCCGCCATGAAGCCCAATATGAGYGCTTTGTCCGGACGGGAAACGCGATTCGCCTTGCGGAACATTTCGTGCGCCTTATGGACATGCTCGTTCTGTAAAACACAATCACAGCGRTTAATRAATCCGCCATTGAGGCAAAAATGAAAATGAGCAAGTGTTTGTTTACCGATAATGAGAGTCCTTTGCGTTGGGGTGCCTGTTGCGCTTGAGGCTGTTGTTGCTGCTGCGCCTGCTGTGTCACCTGCACGATGTGTGTGGCGCGCGGCATGTTGGCCGTTGAGGCGCCTTGCTGAATTTGTATCTGCTGCGGCTGACCGCTCGCCGTTTGCGCGGTCGTAATAATTCGTTGTTGCGGCTGCGTCTTGTGCTGCAATACGATCTGTTGTGGCCGCATTTGTTGTTGCTGCTGCTGAGTCGGCTGCGTTATTATGGTGCGCTGTATTTGCGTCTGCTGTTGCTGTCCGACACCCGTGGAGTTGTTGGCGGTCTGCACCTGCACAAACTGCGGTTGTTGGCCAGGACGCTGGATCAGCGTTAGACCTTGCGGCAATGTTGTTAAGCTATTGCCCTGCACATTGGATATAACCGGTCTTATTATGGTCTGCTGGGTAGGCTGCGTACGAATCAAAATTCACATTTATATCAGAAATCTAGCAAAACTTATGTGTAAACGTGTGTCACTACTTACCGCATTAATGAGGTTCGATTGTGTCGGCTGCTGCACGATCATGTGTTGCGATGACAGCGTATTTGTGGGTATTAGTGTTGGTATATGCTGTTGTTGTTTTGCTTGATTTCCACTTTGTTGTTGCAATTGTATTGTTTGTGCTGTCTGCACACCAGTTGGTGTGGTCTTCACCAGGCTCGGTGGTCCACCGGTGGTTGTAGTCATTAATGTAGTGCCGGCGCTGGTATTTAGCCCTTGCAAGCCACTCATATTGCTAATGGGTATCTGCTGGTACATGTCGCCACCAATATTCCGCAATATAACACCCTTCTGTGTCAGTATGATGGTCTTGTTCTTCATATTTGCATTAGCATTACCCACATTCACTCCACCCATGTTGCCTACGGAGCCG